TCAAGTTTCCAATTCTATAGCATAGATTAAAACTTTGGTCAATATTTTCATCAATTAGTGATATTGTATAATTTGATTTTATTGTGAATATTATCTTTTGATAGACTAAGTTCCTACAACTGTTCCTAATAGAGTATCTATAAGATCTTGTAAGATTCTGTTGTCCATACAATATATTTCTATTGGTATATTCATACTTTCTCTAAAGAATTCTTTTACCATTATCTGGACTCCTCCTATTTCAATACATTTCAGTTTGTTTCTTATATTTTCCGGAATTTTGGATAACTTTTGTTTTACCCATTCTTTTGTAATTATAGGAATTCTTACTTTTCCTATAGTATCTTCTATATTGATAGACATTTTTTTATAATTCATACTTATAATTGTTTTATTTACTTTTGGTAGTATTTTTAAGAATTCTTGATGGAATACATCTTTTTCTTGTAGGTCTAATATTTTCTTGGTTATTCCTTTGTATTTTTTAATATCAAAGGTAATTTCTTGATTTATACCTTCTATCGAATCTTCGACTTCTTCAATTGTTTCTACTTCTATTTCTAAATTTGCTTGTTGTATATCTTGATTCATATATACTATCTCCTCAGAATCTTTCACTAATGAGGATGTATCTAATTCGTAAATGCTACTACATTCACTGCTTAAATCTCCAAATTATTCAATTGGTTCTATATCACTATCATCTTGGAATTTTTCATAAATTTTAAGAGTTTTTATATTTTGTCTATCTTTCTTTTTAGGATATTGAGAGGCAATGTGTCATTCTTCATTACAGATGAAACATCTACATTTTTTAATATTTCTTGGTTTAGAGTTTTTATTCCAATTTTTTTTCTTGAAATATTTTTTGTGTGGTTTAAAATTTCCTTTCTTAAATTTTTTGTAGTTTTTGAATTTTCTTTTATATTTCTTATATAGTTTATATTTCTTTTTATGGCATCCAAATTGTTCAATTTGGCCTATATCTTTGTAACGACATAAGGAATTTTTTCTTATTTTATATGCTTTCTTACTCCTAGAGCTTCCCTGCACCACATGCTTATCATTCTTTTTGTAAATTTAATCCTACTTCTAATACTATCTATTTTTACTCCTCCTTCTTCTCTTAGAGGTAATAATTTCTCATATTCTTTTAATAACTTAATTTCTCATGGAAATGGTAACTTCGTAAAATAAGACTTTAATATAGGCTTATTTTCTTGATAATCACTTTGATTTAATATATAGTATAATTTTTCAAATTTACATGTATATCTTTCTAATTCACACATATCACATATCTTCAAATTTTTCATTGCTATCATTCCTTCATTGCATTCATCTTGTTTTCTATCTTTTTTCATTAGAAGTATATGTATCTCCCAAGAACTCTATTTTTAAGGTTTTTTCAAACCTTTTTAATATTTCTTGTATATTTTGATCATTTAAAGTATTCCTATTATCTAATGCTTCAATTCTATTTTCTCCATACTCTATTCTTTCTTTTATAGATTCTGGTAACTTTCTCCACCATTTAGAAATAATTCTTTTGAATGTATGTTCTATAAATCCAAAAACTCTATATGTTTCTCATTTATTAAATTGTATTGCTAAGTCTGTACTTTTCATTTATGTTTCAATAGTTTTATTTTTATCTATACAGTCTAAATCTAACCATACTCCTGATGTGTGGATTGATTCATTATAAGATTTCATCGGATTTATTTCTTTTATGGATTGTTTTGTTATATTTTCAGTGTATATTTTCTGTGTTTTTCTATATTGATTAATACCTTCTTTAATATATATTGTTGTATGATAAGGATAATCATATTATTCATCACTACTGAATTCTATTTTTACCTCTCGACTTGTTGATGGATTAGTATTCATCTTCGTATTTTTCATTTTTTCAGTCAATTCTTCTAACTATTTTTTATATTCTTCATACATTTTATCAGTAGATTCTAAGATTTTTTTTTCTAATTCTTTTATATCTGTAATCATATATTGATTTTCTTCATTTTTTCCCTTTATTATTTTCTTTTCGTGTTATCCTAAAATCTTGAGGTGGATTTATTATAATCCTATCTTTTCCTTTAAGGTTTTTATCTAAAAGAGCATTTCCTACTTGTGGATTATGTTCTAAATTTTCTAGTTTTTTGTGTATATCCTCAAAACTTTCATTTGTGGTGTTTTTAGGTAAGTAGGGATAACTTGATTTTTTATATTTTTCAAATTTTTTTCAAAAGTTTTTCAATTATATTTTCTTCATCTACTATATTCATCATAATTTTAGGTTCGTAACATGACTCTGATACCATTTTTTCATTGTGTGCAGCGGAGGGATTAAAATTTTGAAGAAAATTAAGATCTTCATAAGTATTTAAAATACTACAATAGAATTTATAAAATTCATTATCTTTTGTCAAAACTTTTTCTTCAATAATTATATTTAATTTGTTAATTATTCTTTCCAGTTTAAGAATTAATTTATGTATATCATTTTCTATTTTGATTGCTCTATTATCTATATAAACATTTTTATATTTTAATTTTGGATCTAAATATTCTGTAAAGAAACTCTTCAGATTTTCATTTAAATAATTTAATTCATTATATGTTGTATTTCTTAGATCAATAAAATTTTGTATAATATTTGGGCTTAAATTTATTAAAGATTCATGATCTATATTTATTTGGGGACCTAATTGAATGTTTTTAAACATTGTAATGGCCTTGGTTGCAAATTCTCTATGAATGGTATTTTTGGAAAGATTATTATTTAAAGGTTATTCTTCAAACAATTATCTTTTCAAGTCTAATATCACAATTCACCCTTATATTTAGGTTATTTGCAGGTATTTCTTCCTTAGTACCTTGGTTGAAGAAGAGCTAAAGATTTTATCATCCAATTCGGATGATACCTGAGTTCGATTTACGATGTCATGAAATAGTTCGTTTCTCACGAACATGATGACATAAGACAACGAGAATAATATTCATACAAAAATTATTAATTTGGTTGGTCGACCGTTCATAATAATTATTGGCCACGTATCATGGCACACGCCTTACAAAATGACAAAATATATTATTAAACCAATTAATGAGTTTGCATATTGACTAGATAAAGTCATAAAGAGGTTAATTGCATTTTAATTATGTGATGATGGAAGCAAAATGTGTCAATAAAACATGGTTATGGATATTAAGCCCGGTTTGATCCTCATTATCTTAAAATTTATTTTTAATAATATATTCTCACAATAAATATTTTACACATAAATTAAAAAAAAATCTAACTTTCGATCACATATTTTCCCAAAATTCATTATTATAAAGCTCATTTTCTACAGAAAAAAGAGATAATCCTTGTTTAATCTCCATTATTTTTCAAAATATATTTTCCACTCCTTTCTTTTCAATTACACATTCTTCAATAAAATAATATTACACAAATTTTTTTTTTTAATTTATTAACCCCATTTTCTCGATTTATTTATCATTTTAATATACATTCTAAAGCTTTTAGAGGGTGTTTGGGAGTCATTTTTATGTAAAAATATATTTTGAAATAGTAAATTGATGGGAAATGTGTGATTAAAAAATAAAAAAAAAATTTAATTTACGTATAATATTATTTTCATGAAAAATATATGATTAAAAAAAAGAGAAGGAAAAATATATTTAAAAAAAAAATGGGTATCAAACGGCTTAATGGAATTCAAAAACGCAGGACCTCATAGGGAAATTTCAGTTATTTTCTAACAGAAAAGCACCCCAAAAAAAGAAGCTCACCAATGAATATGCAACACGCAGAATATAAAATCGAACCCACTATACAGTTTCTTTAAAGAGAAATCTTTTGAGATCTTATCCTTGGGTTTCGCTCAAGTCAAACCTGGGAGAGACTGACAGTAATTTAGTTTGTTTTTAAAAGTTAAAAATTATTTTAAATATTAGAAAATTAATTTCAATATATTTCAATAATTTTTTAAAAATATTTTGAAGAACGATCTAAAAGAAATTTTTTTCTAAAAAAAAAAAAAATTAAAGCTCTATCAAACGACCTTGATAACTTGATAGAGAAACCTGATGTCCAACTTCAAATTATGCGAATATTTTGACAGTGTCTTCCACTTTCTTTTTCTTTCATTGGGTTACCAAAAGAACGTCCAATTTGTACGGTCTCTCTTAGCCCAGCTCAGCCCACCATTACATCTAAGCCCTTCCGTACACCCACCACACATCTGATTTTTTTTCTTTTTTCTTTTTTTATATATATATCCAGGTATCCCAACTTACACTAAACTAAATTCTGGACCTCCAAAATCCTTGCCCTTAGAACCTTGGAGGGAGTAAATCGCGGGTTATGCCTCAATTGGATCACAGATTTCCTCCACCGCTTGTATACTTCTGCGCACAAGAGATCCTCCTCCAAAGTGATTGCTCCATACCAAATAAATCTGGTCACAGGTTCCCACCAAGATTCGAACCTCCACCCTACCGCTGAAAGCAAGATAAATGTTAATTGATCCACCAGTTGAGCTGTGTCTCGAAGGGCCCCACCACACTCTTCTCACCTCCACATAACGATGTCAATTTGGCTCGTTGGTTTGATCAAATCGTGACTCGATTCAAAAAAAGTTCGAATTGGCCCAAGCCATGCAACCCATGTGGCTCGACAAGCCACAAGGACCGGCCCATGTCAATCCATTTTCGACTCATAACGAGCCGAGCCTAAAAAAATTAAATAAATAACAAAAATATAAAAAAATTTATTTAGCTGCCTAGTTAAGGCGCTGTACAAGGCAGCTGCTTGTTAAGGCAGCACATAACCAGGCAGGCAGCTTAAAAATAATAATAAAGAGCAAGTCGAGTGAGTAGAAAGCTCGGAAAGAGCCTAGATTTTTTTGTTGAGCAAAAGCTCGATTCAACTCAAAAAATAAGAAAAAAAAATCCGAACTATTTTTACTTGAATCGAGTTTTGAACTTCGATTTTTGACCCGACTCGTCGACATCTATTCCCACACCCCCCTTCCTATAAATTCATGATTCCGCCCTTTATTCGTACTACATCCAGAATACGGACGAATGAATTTTTTCTTTGTAATGAATGCTTTCTCTCTCTGAATTGCTCATGAAACCATGTATATATTTATACATTTACGACTAAAGTTCTTGCGATTTTGATCTGATAGTTATTTGTTGAAGGGTGATAGACTAGAGAGAAGATGAGGATTTTTAGGACCGTTAATTCTTCAGAGTTCCCAAATCGGTCTGGATTCTTGGTTGTTGAAGCTTGTCCCAAAAGGTATTCTTCCAAAATCCCCTCTAATTTGGTTCTGTTCCTTGGCCTTGGATTCATAGATTGGTAGCTCTCATCCAACTCGTATTATATCTCAATATTGATTACGAAATACTGAGGTGGGAGATTCTGTTGCTGAATATATCTTTCAATTAGGAACTTGTGTTAAAAAGACAGGATTTTACGGTCCGATTTACGGTCTCCCACCTGTCTTTGGAGGAATGAAGAGATTCCTGGGTTATGTTTAGATATTGTCTTCTTCTAGCTTTCTCTTGCTCTTCTTGATATAATTTATTGCCCTTCGTCCCTGTTCTTGTTCTTGATTTGGGAAGTAATTGGGTCCATGCATTTGTTTTCCTTTTGACCTAGGATTTTTAGATTTTAGTTTTTTTGGAAACATTAAGGTTAGGATGAATAAATTTAGGGTTTTGATGGAGGGTTTAGGGTTGTAGCTTGGATTGAGATGATGAAGGTGTCTATAAAGATTAGTTGTTTGTCAAAATAATTTGAGGAGGAACAATATTCCAAGACCCTGGAATAGTTTGTCAGATGGAAGAAACTCTTGTCACAGCTTTGGAAATGGAGAATCGTCAACCTTCAACCCTCTTGTCCATGTATTTAAGTGGCTCAGCATGTGAAGAATCAGATCTTGAGATGAATCCCCAAGTTGTTTTAACTCGTCCACCGGATATCAATTTACCCCCTTTAACTGAGCAAGCACCCCCTCCACAATCTTGGAACTCTGAAAAGTGTGATATTCTTGATGTTGGACTAGGTTCTCAAATTTATGAGAGTGAAAGTTTTCCGAGTGTGCCCAAGGTTGGGAAGAAATGTGGTAAAAGAATTGATAATGTTTGGGGTGCATGGTTCTTCTTCAACTTTTACTTTAAGCCAGTCCTGAATGAGAAATCAAAGGCGAAGAACATGCTTGACAGTAACGGAGTTTCTGGGTTTGATAAATCTGATCTTGAGCTCGAAGTTTTTATGGTTCAACATGATATGGAAAATATTTACATGTGGGTTTTCAAGGAAAAACCCGAGAATGCTCTAGGTAAGATGCAACTGCAGAGTTATATGAATGGGTTTTCTCGTCAAGGGGATCGACCCTTCCCATTTAGTGTTGATAAAAGTTTTGTTCGATCCCACAGGATGCAACGTAAGCATTACAGGGGACTGTCTAACCCTCAATGTGTTCATGGGATTGAGGTTGTTCCTTCACCCAATCTCATGGATGTTAATGAAGATGACCTCAGAAGATGGGCAGAACTCACGGGTAGGGACCCAAAGTTCACCATACCACCTGAAGCAATCGACTACAGTTCATGGAGAAATCAGCCAGCTAACCATAGCAATGGTGATCTGATTGATCTGTCACCCATTGGCAGCAAGAGAAAGAAGGATTTCATCTCAAGTGGAAACGAAGATGATTGTTATGTCGCAGTAAGTGCACCTTCAGATCAAATCTTTGATATTGAAATTCGTTCTAACAAACCACGCTGGCTGAAGGAATTCAGTGGGGTGCTCGGGAATGTTTATGGACCGGTAACAGCTGCCAAAACAATCTATGAAGATAAAGAAGGTTTTCTGATAGTAATCAGCTTGCCGTTTGTAGATCTTCAGAGAATTAAAGTTTCATGGAGGAACACGCTCACTCATGGACTTATCAAGGTGTCCTGTACAAGTTTGTCCGGCACACCATTTCTCAAGAGACAAAACAGGACTTTCAAGCTTACAGATCCATCTCCAGAGCACTGCCCGCAGGGAGAGTTTGTTAGAGAAATCCCACTTTCTACCCGAATTCCAGAAGATGCTAATATAGAAGCATACTATGATGGGCCACAAACAATACTCGAGATTTTGGTGCCAAAACTCCGCGAGGGACCAGAAGAACATGAAGTTCGTGTTTCCCTTCGTCCCAACCCGGGAACAACAATCTTATGTTGACCTAGGACTTGTTTGGTGAAATGCAAGGTTTATTGGGGTTATGGATGTTGTTTCATTGTTCAATGTTGTAATACATGAAACATAATATGCATCAGATGTTAACTGTTTTATTCTGTTTTTGAGCGCTAATAAATGTGGAGAGGAAAAAAGAATGTTAATAAACATATGTTAGCTATCTTTAGTATTTAATATTCAGAACTTTATAGCAAATAAACCATGATTAAAACTTGAAAGTCCATTGTGTGATGGTGAGCACATAAAAATGCACTTTTGCAACTTTTTTTTTTCCTTTTTTCCCTTTGCTAAAAGGCTAGAACGCACAATAGGGTAAAGGTGCACTCTTATTAGGATTAGCACCTTCTTAAGAATGGGGGATTATTACATGTTAATCGACAGAGTGTATAAATAATTTGCTAATCATGGATTAGCTAACGATTATTATACAGTGGGGATTATTACGCACATATTCACCTATTACCCTGTAGCTTCCTGTTTCAAGCTATAGAAAAATAAGTAGAGTACCTTAGAACTTATTTTTGAAATTGTACTTTGGAAGACGTGATGAAGAGAAAGGAGTCCGCCAAGTAGAGATGTCACACAAATGAGAATACATCAGTGGCACCTCGTTGTGGTCCTGTGGAACCCCCCAATTATAATATGTTTCGTGCTTCTTGAGATCAAGGACTTTTTCAGAAATAATAAATAGGAGTAGGATCAACCATCCAATCAGCATGAAGAGTAAGAGTAGACAAAGAAGACAGCAAATCACCATAAAGAAGTGCCCTGTATATATCTTAGAGTGCATATGGAAAAAATCCAATAGGTTTTTGGGTGGTTCCAAGAAATTGAAGAGTTATGAGTAGTTTGCTGAGATTGACCTCCTTGCAGTAATCCTTCATTAGGGTCTCTAGACTTATTCTGGAGAAATGAACATTCTTTCTTCCAATAACCTTTTCCATAAAAATGCTAGTAGTCATCTTCAGTTGCCCAGAATCTCATGCCCTGTTACTATTTGTTTCAAATACTACTGTAGATGTATGGTTTCCCCATCTTGTTGCTGACTTTTCAAGTGAGTTTTCTCTGCAAGTTATTTAGAAATTGCAGAAAAAAGACCAGGCAACGGCTTCAGATGAATCATACAACTCTGAGTATTCCTGAACATGTGCCATTAGGAGGGTGAATATTCCTCAACATTTGTGGGAAAATTACATAATGTGACAGTTCTCTTATACGAGGTTTGATGCAACCACAGGCTAATCTTTTGCTGTGTGTTTATGTACCAACCAATAATTGACATTGTCCAGAAGCACCTTCGAGGCAGACCTAATGTAAGTCAATATGAGACTATCTATAAAATTCTGTGACCAGGAGAGTGGCTGCTTCTATTCATTACATCTCATTTTGAAATTATCATGCATTGGTGAGGACTTTTAGCAACACCTACCTGATGACAGCGTTATTCCAAATATTTCAGGTTTGCATATATCACTTACACAAATCTTTCTAAGCGAGACTGAATGTACGATATTCTTTATCATGTTACAGAACTCAGAATTTTTGGATTAGAAGTCCTTCGAAATTTGGAAACCTGCCAGTGAAGAAAAACTTTGTTTACAAGTATATACAGTAATCCTCAAATATTTCATCTCTTCCAAGGTTCTGAGCTGTTTTTGGGTTGACTTACTAATGTTGCAGATTATACAAGCTGCCCTGCTAACAATGTACAAAGATTTTATCAAAATCGTCCTTTATATCACCAGTTTGATATTTCATATTGCTCTTCTACACCTGCCTCTGATCATCAACCTTTTGTATTTTTGTTTCTTTTTATAAAACATGATATTTCAGGTCATGAAAAACTATGCCACCCAACAGGCAGTTCCGTAATTCATGATCTGTTCCTCCATAATGGATTTCTCTTTTTTCCCTCTTTTTCTACTGATGAACTCTGCACCACTAACAACATACAGAGAACTAACAAGGATCTTGAAGTTCTTCAATTCACAAATCGTCTAGATCTATTTTAGGTTCTGGAGGAACAGAACAATTCGATAAGTATAGTTGATACATTGTGATGATCAGCTGGGTTATTTCTTGGATCATTATGCAGGTTTGAAATGATATGATAAACATACACTTGAGGGATCTTTGGTGCATATTATTATATTTGCACGCCGCGCAATATTTTTTTCTCCTGGTTCATTATTATAAGCACAGTCTAATTCACATTACGAAACATACCACTAGGATACTATGGCCAATGTCATTTCAAGAATTCTTGGGCAGCCCTTCTGATGAACAAGTTATTCCAGAATGGATATTTTCATCAAATTACTTACTTTTTCCCAAAATCTAATTAAGTTGAGAATTATCTATTACCTACTTCTTCATGTTTTGGCTAGAGTTCAGATATATATACATGTTAGGTTCTGCTTGCTGGGTGGAAGGATTTACTTGTATCAAATAAATAATTTATCTCCGGTCAATATTGAATCATGCTGCAATAATTTTTTGTAAATGCCTTTTTTCCTTTGGTCCAGAATATATAGCCTCTAATTGGTGTGACTCAAAAGTTTAAAAAGTCAACAATTAAATTTAATAACACATTCCATGAAATATACATTTTTTATCAACCTTTCATTTCAACCACACATTTCATTAATTTTTATCAAAATATACTAAAAATTGGCTTTTTAGTTATACCAAACTGGTGGCATAGTAAACTAATTAGTGGGTAATTTTGATGATTTGACAACTTAAATAGAATGTGAGCAACTTTTGCCCATCTTTGGTACAGGAGTCTTTTTTTTTTTTTTTCAAAATATTCATTTTCAATCACACGTTCGGCTCTAATTACAAATATTAAAAAGAAATTATTTTTCACAAAATTTATTCTGAAAAAGTTCACTTCAAACAAGCTCTCAGCATGTACGGTAAAAAGGCGAACAAATGTATCGAGTTGAAGTCTTAACATTATTCATTTGATTGAATATTATATGGTCTGATTGGGAATCCAATGCGATCTGTTAGACCTGAATTAATTCCAACTTTGTTGACCAAAAGCGAAATAATTTGGACCCAAACAGTGCACATATCCATTGTTTTTAAAATTTTAAATTATCTTCACAAAGGGAAGCTATGAATAAATCCTATCCTAAGAAGCATAAATCACAACTTTTTTAAAATCATGTAAAGAAGTAAAGTTAGTTTTGACGTCATGGAATGGTCTTAATTAATGGCTTTTGACTTTTGCTACAAAAGTATTTCCCACTCTTTGTAATTTGTCTTTCTTATTAGTTTGAATCACTTGAACATTTTTCCAGATTTTCCAGCAGCAAAGAATCCAATGGAAAGAACCCGCTAAAGATTTTAGCAACATGGGATTTAAAGACTTTCATAGAAAATTAGGAAGCTCATGATCCAGCCAATTTTACTACAGTTAGGTTAGGAGCTCCAAGCTTTATTTCCATGTAATTGAGACCTTCGTTACGTAGGAGATGCATTTGGATATACACATGTGCATTTAGATACATAAACTAGAGATATTGATGAAGGATTGGAAATGCCCGACTTAAGTTATGAGGGTAGGGATTTGGGGGAAAAAAGAGATGAGATATAGAATTAGTTTCTTTTACTCGATTATTCTTAGTTTTTGAGACTAGTATAATTTTTCATACTTCACTTTCATTGGTTCGAGATCAAGTCATATATCTTCTTGCTCTTAAGCTTGCACTTTCTTTTTATATATAACCCATGTTTGGTTTTGCAAGTATAAGGTTTTTAGTAAATTTCGATAAAAGTTAATAAAATATGTGGTTGAAAAAGTTGTGGATCTTTTTATATTAGCCCATGTTTGGTTTTGCTAAACATAAGATTTTTATCATGTTTTGATAAAATGTGTAGTTGAAAAGTTTTGAACTTTATAAAATATTTGCTTACAATTGACTATTAACTTAATTTTTATCAACTTTTATGGTTAAAGCAAACATGGACTTAATATGAATAAATATTTCAGTGTTTAAATTAAAAAAAAGACCCATCTTTTTTTCTTTGTGAATGTATTGTTGTGTGCATGGGTAGGCGCTCTATGAATAAGTAGCTAGTCCCATGCATAGAAAGCTAGAGAGGGAGGGAGGGACGGGGGGAGAGAGAGAGAGGAGAAAAGTTGCATTCAGTCGGGACATCCTTGGTTCCACCAAATACCTAATTCCTTGGCACAAAATTATAAGCAATTATTTAGATTAGTTAACTAATTTTCTTGAGAAAGTAAGATTCTCTTAAATAAATGCTAATTGCCATCACAATCACACATTCTCTTTCTCTCTCTAAATTATATATTAAAATGAAAATCACATTGCAACTTTTTCTAGAGCAATTGTAGCAACGTCCCACCATACAAGCTCAAAAACAGAAGCTTAAACGCTAAGAAAAACCCTAAATTTATTAACAAAATCAGACAGAGAGAGAACATATTAACCATGTGTGTGAGAGAGAGATAAGAGAGAGAGAGAGAGAGAGAGAGAGAGGGAGAGAGAGAGTAAATGTAAGTATATATATAGACTGAGAAAGCGCCCTCCTTTATTTTAGCTCCTTATTCTCATTCTCCCTTTATTATCTCCTCTTTTTATAGAGTTGATGTGATTCTCTCTCCGCTATACACCTCCAAAACCAATTAACCTTTATAAAAAAGAGAAAGATCATCAAGAACAATGGGTTTTTCTTCAATTCCAGCTTATCTTGATCCAGCCAACTGGCAGCAGGTTAGGGTTTTTTTAATATATACTTCCATGGCTTCTTTGCCAAAAAAGCAAAATTCAAAAGAAAAATATTCTTCTTGATCCCTTTCTTTTTCTTTTTGTTTATCTCATGATCTTTTATTTTTTTGTTTATTATTCACGCCTTTAGTTTCTTGAATATACCAGTTGTTTCATTTTCTGCTTTTTCTGAGTTTTTTTTTGCAGCATCAGAATAGTCAAATTTTTGGTAGTAGCAGCACATACCCTTTGCTGTCACAGCCGCCGCCATCGCCTCCATCTTCAGCTCAGCCTCATGCTGGTGGTGGCACAGGTTCGATCCGTCCGCGATCGATGGCGGAGAGAGCCCGGTTGGCCAACATACCAATGCCGGAGGCTGCCCTTAAATGCCCTAGATGTCAATCGGCAAATACAAAATTTTGCTATTTCAACAATTATAGTCTTACTCAGCCTCGACACTTTTGTAAGACCTGTAGAAGGTACTGGACTAGAGGTGGCGCTCTGAGAAGTGTTCCGGTGGGAGGTGGCTGCCGGAGAAACAAAAGAAGTAAATCTACGAGTTCAAAGTCTCCGGCGCGGCCCAATAACGACAGGCAAACCACCTCTAACTCCACCAGTACCGGTATCGGTACCGTTTCATCCAACAGTACCGGACCGGCAAGTATTTTAGGCCTGAACCCTCAATTTCCACCTCTACTCTTCATGTCTCCTTTAGGTCAACTTACCGACGACTATACTACTGGTGATATAAGCTTAAATTACAGTGGAATTTCAGCTCCAATTAGCGAGATGAATTTTCAGATGGGAAGTAATTATCTTGGCGGTGGAAGTTGTAGTGGAGGTGGCGGCATTGGTGGTGGATCTGGAATAGCTTCCCTTTTATCAAATGCTGGCATTGAGCAGTGGAGGTTTCATCAGCAATATCCTTTCTTGGGTAGTATGGATCCATCTCTGGCGGCGCTTTACCATTTCGAAGGCGGAGATGAGCAATCTAGATTCGCCGGTGAAACCAGCCAGGGGGCACAGCCTAAACTTTCAAGCTCAATGCTAAATCAGAACACTACATCAGTGAAAATGGAAGAAAATTCCTCGAAGTTGAATTTGCCAAGTCAATCAATAGGAATGCCAGGAAATGATCAATGGAGTACTGGTGAAGCTTCTTGGACTGATCTTTCATGTTTCAGTTCTTCCACAAACAATCCCTTATAAATAATATTTATCGGCTTTGGCTCTACTGAACGCTATCGCATAACTTCAGTTAAGTTATCATCAACTGAGCGCTCTTAAATTTTATGTGTAAGTTAAGCTTCATATAAAGACACTGTGACTAAAACCTAAGCCAAAATGAGAACTTTCAGAAATGGACAAACTAAAGGCTAAGGGTTCCTACTTCCTAATCAAGATCTGCTGAAAACCCTAGAATTAATTAATAGGAGTAAATATATTTTTTTCTTTATTTATTTTGATTAGTAGCATTACCCTGCAGTACTGCTTTGAGAATATATGTGTAAACTAGAGTGAGTGTGTTGAGTTCCTTTAGCTTTATGTTGCTAATTTCAGGTCTAATATTAATGTTAATTAATTTCTCTTGAATTTGTTACTTATTTTAGCTTTAATTATCGAAATATTCTATTCGGCTTAATTTCTATACGTCATTTCATGTTATTTCTGACATTAATATAAATATATGCATTTTGCAGCTATTCTCTTGAATTTAATCCTCCCAATCAATCATACACATGAATTGATTATATGATCACAAGGGTGAAAAACTTATCCTTAATTAATGTTGATCATCTGCATCTATCAAAGTGTGTGTGTGTGTGTATATCTATATATCGTAACGAGTTTTACTGTTAACATTAATTTAATTAGATTAACATAATTAATTTTTTCTCAAGTTGCGCCTTGCAATCCTATGGAATGGATAATTGCTTACATAAAAATTCAGATTTGGGTTCTTAAATTTATTTAAGAATTAATCTGACTCGCAAAGATAGTTTAACTAAGAAGTAGCTAGTAAATCATCTCCGTTCATGTACGTCTTCATGATTATTTGAAAAACAATATAAATGCAAATTAGTGCAGATCGGATCATTTTCTGATTAAAGATCTACACAATTTTCATGAGTCAGTGACTGAACACTTAAATTCACATTTTTTTTATTTGGTTATGATAGTATGTTTATTAAATCATCTAAAAATTTAAATTATTATAATAATCACATATATTCATTTAATAAAATATAAATACCAACAATTGATTATATGAATTTATCACAGGAAACAAACAAGTTACCTAATTGGGGATGCCATGCACAGTCACAGCTGGTCAAGTTTCCAGCAATGTTTAACCTGTAAATGTAAATGGTAAAGTTATTATCATCTTTACTATTTTTTCCCAATATGATCCCAAAAATAGATGGATTTAGTTCCCAATATCCTTACAGAATTTGTGCCCTTTCTCCCTTAACTAATCCAAACTATTCAATTTTACTTCATACCTAAAAATATTCAGGAAATCTACTTAGAGTTAGTTATATTCAATAGTCTTTTTTCTTTCCTGTTGAATGAATTTGGAAACTTCATTGAAATTTTACTCATTATTGAACACTTTGAACGGCACGATCATTAGTGTCATGAAGGTGACACCATCTCAATGCCGAGAAAATCTCAGTAAACGAGCAATATTCGTCCAGGTTACATTAATATTAGATTTTGAACATTTACAATACTTTTGACTACCTCACGCCACACATAGCTAGGTGTTCGAGTTACATTGTCTTACCACATCAAATCTCAAGAGAATTTCAACAATGAGCAATATAGGTGTTCGAGTTACATTATCTGTACATTTTAAACATCAATGGTGAATCGAAAAGAATCTTTGTAAATGTTTCATCATATTTTTGATATCTATTATTACAATAATTTGATAAAATTTGATTGAGAGAGGTCAAGGGCTTATTTTCGACGTAGTTAAAATCATATTTTTACTAAATTTTGATAAAAATTGATGAAATGTACCTTTTTGATTCCCATTTTTGAAAACTCTATTTCTTCCCCCAAACTCATTTTCAACCACACATTAGCAAACCCAATTTTTCTTTACTTTTAAATCACACATTCTTCAAAAAATATTATTAATACATTATTAATAAACATTGGGATCAAACACACTTACATTTTAAAAATTGATAAAAATTGTAAATCTTATAATAGGTAATTAAAAATTAATTATTAACTTTGACTTAAACATTTCTTTAAGTTTTTTAAGTTACACCAAACAGGAAGTAGATATAGAGATTGAGGTAGAGGGAAATTGGATAATAATATCAAAAGATGCCAAAATGCCCAATAGAATTCATACTAAAAAATTCTGTGTCTGTGACAGAGAGAGTCTTCTTCTTCACACTTGACAGTTCTTTTCTTTTCTTTCTTTACCTTTCTGTCATGCTTCTGACACAAAAACTCGTGTATTTGGTTTAACAAAAATCTGCAAATTTTATTAGCAATGTCTAGGAAAATGAATTAGTTCTGAACAAAAAAAAAATAAATAAAAAAAAATAAGAATCAATCCAAAAATTGTAGCCCATTGTAGGGTTACAAAAAATTAAATTTAAAAATTGTTAAAATAACTTTTAGACTTGCTGGTCGACCCCATATTTTTTTCTTATTAATACCTGAACTATGCTTTATAACATTGGTTACCAGAAATTTGTTCATTCAATTTTTTATTTTTTAATAATGCCATGGTAAGGTGATTAGATATTATCTTATACTATTCATAACACTAGGTGTTTGCTAATGACTGGAGCTAATTTTAGAATGTGACAAATCCTTAGGCCTTTATTTGAGTTTCTTTTTAAGTTCCTAAAATATAAGTCGATAGAAATGATTTATGAATAAGTTGATAGTATGGAAATAATTAAAATTAATATTTGACCTTGAAAAGTAATTTATAAGGAGCTAATAGAAGCCAAACATAGGGTAAATTGATTTTTGTTGAATGGTTTTGGACATTTTCCAAAAGAATGTTCTTTTTTGCTGTTTTCGAGATTTTATATCATTTGAATGACTCTTGATGTTGGAAGAATACAAAGATTAGAATATAATGTCACACAATCAGGAAAAATGTTTATTCCAATGATGGACATTCTTAAAAGACACGTTGACGAGGATATATAGAGAAACAATTTGAACAACCTAAAATTTATATAAACCTTGACATACTTGTGTCGATTGGAAGTAAGACAAATTTAAAAGAAAAACAATTTGTTGGTATTTATTTTTTTCTTGTTTGGTATAGATTAAAATCTTATTTTAATATTAGGTCAAGTAAATAATTAATTTTAATAATACATTTCATGGGATCTAGAACTTTTCAACCATAATTCATCGACTTTTATATAATTTACTAAAAATCTAGTTTTAATCTACATCAAAAGGACTTAAATAATTAAATTTCACATGCAATTAATAAGAGTTCATTGCAGTACACCCAAGGCCTCCTTAATGATTATGTTTGGTAGGATAAATTAGATAATACGTACGAACTAAAAGTATTAAAAGGAAAAAAGTTCAAATCTTATTAGGTAATATGTCTTTGATTGAAGCATGTCGGTTGAAGTACTTGGTTAACTAAGCCCCTATTTGATTTGGATTAAAATTAGATTTTTAGTATATTTTAATGAAAGTTGTTAAAATATATAATTAAAAAGTTTATAGAAATTATGGGTTCCATCGGCTGTACGATTAAAAACGAGTTTAAGAAGAAAAAACATTTTAAGAAATGAAAATGAACTTGTTCTTGTACCATCTATTTTCACCTAAGTTGTGGTTGAGCAATACTACCAAGTGGCATTCATGGTATGGAAGAAAAGGAATATTGGGCATTTTACTTTCGTGCGAATCAAAGCTGCCTACCAACAAGGAATAAAGCAACTCTAGTCTCCCACCCCCACAAATAAAGCTATATCTATCTCTATATCTACATTTACATCTGCGTCTACATCTCCGTGTGCGTGTATCATAATCATATCTAGGAAGAAATAAATCAGACAGATTTTATTATTTGTGGGTATTTTGTCGTCACAGGATTTAAAAGTTGAGAGTACATAGTAATCTGTAGTAGTGATCCCAACATTCTCTCTCTCTCTCTAGATAACAATAGAATGTTTGGCTCGGAAATTCAAGCTAGATCTTACCATTTCAATCAGCTATATATTTGCATAGTCAGTCAGAGTGGATTCAATACATAGAGGACAATGAATACGGGGGCAGCTTTTGCTTTTTTGACAAGTTTTATATATATATATATATATATATATATATATATAGAGAGAGAGAGAGAGAGAGAGAGAGAGAGAGAGAGAGAGAGAGAGAGAGAGAGAGAGAAGAGACGAGTGATCCCAACATTCTCTCTCTCTCTCTAGATAACAATAGAATGTTTGGCTCGGAAATTCAAGCTAGATCTTACCATTTCAATCAGCTATATATTTGCATAGTCAGTCAGAGTGGATTCAATACATAGAGGACCATGAATACGGGGGCAGCTTTTGCTTTTTTGACAAGTTTAATATATATATATATAGAGAGAGAGAGAGAGAGAGATGATAGACGACAGCCACTTAAAGCAAAGGGGTTAAGAATATTCCAATCACATGACATGTCTGCTCGAATCTGATTCCGCCTGCATGCCCTAAAACCAATGGCTATTCGCTGTTTGTTTAATTACGTACACGGGAGTAATATTTGGGACAGATATGTTACATGTATAACCCGATTGATAACCACACACATGGAGACGGACTCATGCTGAATAAAAAAATTGTGAGTCCCCTCTCCCGTGAGTACGTTCACATAACATGTCTGCTCAAATCTGATTCTACTTGCATGCCCTAAAACCAATGATTATTCGTTGTTTGTTTAATTACGTACACAAGATTAATATTTGGGACAGTTATGTTACATATACAACCCGATTGACAACCATATACATGGGATACGGGCCAATGCTAAATAAAAAAAATTGTGGGTCTCTTCTCTCGTGAGTATGTTGTCAACCTCAGTTGTACAATTAAAATAATACTATTTATCAATCTCGATTGTACAATTAGAATAATTCTATTTGAGAGTTGGTTTATGTACAAGCCCTTGTATGCAGGGGGCCGAGCTGGCCCCCTGTGATAGGTTGGGGGACACCCCGGTGCAAGGGGCTTTTTCCTTAATATTTTCAGCCAAATGTTGAAGTCCTCCAATAGATGTCACTTATGACTTATCATTATCAACTAATTGTTTCAACTGATGTATATATACTTGATCTCTTAAGCAACCAAGTGACATTGCACGCTACAATATGTGGTGTACTCAATTTTATAATCAACAATTATCTCTCATGTGTCATATCACTCGGGTGCTAAGGACATAATGCACTATAATATATCACATATTGTAATTTGCCATATCATCTACCGATACTTAGGACGTGAACTCTTAGGCCAAGGAAAATAACATTTTTTTATTTTGTGAAAATACGTAATTGTTCAATAATTAGATATTAGAATTATATTT